GAATTGAGCAAGTTTAGCTTAGCTCTTTCGATTCATGGAATTAAGTTAATTTTGCTCTGATGATGTTTTACTGGCTTGATTTTTTTGTGGGTATTGTTAGTTGTGGAAATAGCTTCTAAAAGTTGAATGCTTTAGCTTTGTTCTAGCGATTGAATCTGATATGTATTTGTTGGGTCTTTGCCTATCCTTTTTCTTATGTGTTGATGTTCTTATGCTGTTTGGATGATTGTTTATTAACTAAAAGCTCGATTCTAAAGTCCTATGTGGATTCTATTTCGTAGGCAGTGTATTTTGTTTCAACAAGTTCTGTGTGACTAAAGACCAAATGGCTCTAGATCATTTCAATGCTGGTCTTGCTTTGGAGAATATCATATCGAACCTTGTGANTTCAGGTCATCGCGGTACTGTCTCGATCAGTGCGTATGGTGATACGACCAAGGATCATCACTTGCCCTCTGAAGGAGTCAAGCTCAATCATTTTCCAGCAGGTGAATTACTTTATTTAAGTAAACTCTCTTTCTCTCTTTTAGTTGTTTTATGTATGTATCTTCATCTTGATCTGCCTTGATCTTAGGTGTTCCATTTGAGAGGTTTGGACCTGTGAGGGATGTCTATATCCCCAGAGACTATTACTCGGGGTGAGTATTGTTCCTTTCTCCAAGTCGTGCCCTATTCATTTGCTAAGTATATATTCAGATTTATTTGTAATGTGTTTTGTTTTTGTTTACACAGAACGAAATTATCAAATATCTTAATTACGATAGTTTATCATTCAAATGTGTTAGTGTGTGTAATATGTGTTAGTATGTTCCACAGAAAATGTAATCATTTTTGTGCTTTCTTAATCATACAATGCAAGTGCTCAGAGTTGGTAGACGCTGATTGGATACGTATGTATGTGGAGCTTGCAGTTCATAAAAAGCATCCAGATGTAAGTCTATTTTTGGAGAATATATATTACAATTTCTGAGAGTTCAATGTTTGTGTTTTCTGATTTGGATATTTATGTAGGTCCTTTTACAATCGCTGATCAAATGGCTGAAGAGGCAATGGTATCGATTATATTCCAGAATTTTCCTAATCATGCTATGTGAGTTTCCTTTGAATATTGGTTCTTGACAAATTGAANAACGCTTCAAAANAACANCCTCCAATCAAATATACATGATGCTAATTGTACTTCTCATACTTANCTTTTGTGTCTCTTTTGTAGCTTTTTAGATTATGAGTTTGTGCTTTGTTGTGAATGACAAGATTTTGTTTGTTTGTTCGTTTCAGGAACATTGTTTCAACTGTGAACCTAGATTGTAAGCTCGACCTCAAAGCTATTGCTTTGCAAGCTCGCAATGCTGAGTATAACCCAAAGGTTTGTAGTAGTGTATATCTTCAGTTTTGTACTTATATATGAACGAAAATATTTACTCTTATGTTAAGAGTTATGAGGTGTTAGTGAAACTGATTGGTTATAGCAACTTATATACGACTTCTATTTGTATTCTCGGATTTGGTTTAATCTTCGGTGTTTCATGTTCCAGCGTTTCGCTGCTGTAATCATGAGGATAAGAGAGCCAAAGACAACAGCTTTGATTTTTGCTTCGGGGAAAATGGTATCTTATATAGCATGTTTGGTTACTTTTGCTCATATGGA